ATTATCATCCATAATTCTTTTTTGGTTTGAGGTTGTTGCCTCCCCACCTTTTCCACTCCTTGTGGTTACGGCCATGGCATGTCCCGTGTTGTTCCCACCCTTCGAGTTCACCACCGTGTCACTAGGTAGTGCCCCCTTAGGACGGGTGTTTAAAGCTTGCGAGATTTGCCCTAATAGAACCTTCAAATTGCGGATTGAAGTGATGTGAGAGGCTAGTTGAGCATCAGAGTTGGCATTTTTCTCCATCATTTGTTTGAACATATTTTCAATCTGTCCCATCTCATTATTGGAAGAGCTAGAACCATGATATAGATAAGGAGGAGGGTTTCTTGGTTGTTGATACATCGGGGGCCTTTGAAAGCCCGACCCCCGATTCCCTTGGTTATTATTCCAACCCCCTTGGGTGTTGCCTGCCCAATATCCTTGATTGTTGCCGCCCCAATTTCCTTGGTTGCCTTGATTATTCCAATTACCTTGATTATTGTTATTGTTCCAATTACCTTGATTGTTGTTACTACCACTCCAATTTCCTTGGTGGTTTTGATTGTTCCAATTTCCTTGATTTCCTTAAGATCGCCATTGTTGTTGATTCGGGCCTTGAGAGTTGTTTCTTTGCCCTGGGTAGTTGTTCACATATTGCACTTCTTCCTCTTACTTATTATATGAATCGTTTTGGTCAAACCCACTATCATCTTGCACAAATTGTTCCACACGATTTTGCACTTGTTGACCCTTTTGCCTTCGCTTGTTCACCATCATGTTGACACCTTCCATTGCATTTACTTGCTTAGGACCTTGAACTTGTTGAAGTTGAGCTTTCGTTAATTGATTCATTGTTGTGGTCAACTCGGCAATTGCTTGCCCATGATCATGCAATTCTTTGTGTAGGTGAATCACATTTGGATCACCTTGAGGAACATTAGCTCTACTTTGTGCTATGTCCACAAACCCCTTCAAGTATTTTCATGCATTTTGACTCGGAGCCCTGGTGAGAATCCCCGTTGCTCTAGCAATGCGAGCATAACATTGGTGATTTGGAAGTTGCCCGCCCTAATGCGGGGCGGGACTATGGTACTTGCGTATCCTTCATTTGGTAACACCCGGTGTAGAGCCGTTCTTGGTGGAGGTGGGGGGAGGGACGAGAATATTGTCATGAGTTGGTCGGCCTTGCCTATTTGCTTTAGGTTCAAGAAGAACCCCATCACCTTGGTCATCGTCTACTTCCTCTCCCAAGGGCAAGTTTTCGAGAGTATCATTGTTGAGAGCCATTTTTGTACCTACAATCGATTCACAAAAGGTTAGTAACCCAGAAGGAAAAGAAGACAAGTCACACACGAAACCAAATATATAGCTAAATCCGTTATTAGCTCCCCGGCAACGGTGCCAAAAATTGATGTCGCCTAAATTCACACCACTGATTGGGATTGTAAAGTGGTCGATGCAATTATAATTACCCAACTTTGAGTCGGGGTCGATTCCTTAGAGAGCTTATATTGGATTAGGTATATACTTAGACTAGGTGTATGACGTGCCTAAAATGCATTTCCATATACTTGGTTGTTTCTTTCTACTTCTAAAATATATGCAATTGTTTGTAAATGTAAATCTATAGAACGATATTTTTGGTGTTTTTGTTTTTCATGTTTATAAAAGATCTAGGGTTGTGACTTCTACATAGGTGGTTACCTAACTATTTGTGGGCGTTAGGGCATGTTTTGTTGGTCGGGGTGTAATATAGCAACAAACACGCGATTACCCACTCGATACCTCTCTGTAGTTAGAGTGGTTTTGCCCAATTCGCTTTCTCAAGTCTAAATGGGTAATTCACAAAACCGTTGATATATGCTCAAGTCGGGTCTTACTATCTCTCGATTCAACTCTTTAATTGGGGCTATCAATTTCTTGAGTTCATCCTAATTTCTTGTTAGCCAAGTTTTCCTAGACTTATTCTCTCTTTCTCAAGTAGAGACTAAGTCAATTAAGCATGAATCAATATTTGCAATCATTAATTCCTAAATTCAAGCAAGAACTAGGCTAAATATCATACACCCAACCTTAAACAAGGCCTAAATCAAACACCCATTAGGTACCCCACACTAGGGTTGGGTCACAACCCTAGCTAGAGATTTAGCTACTCAAAGGCAAAAATGAAGAAACTAAGGAAGAAAATAAGATTAAACTCATAATAGATGATAAAGGGATGAAAATCCAATGTTAAAATGATAAACTAATACAATGTTTCCCAAAGCAGTAAAGGAAAAATAGCTATCTACTTTCTGGCGTTCAAACTTAACCTAAATTTGACAAAAAGAACTATTTATACACAGTTGAAGTTATCGGACAAAATTGCCCCTGCGGAGGTTCTGCGGCCGCACAATTCTGTCTACGGTCCGCACTTTGAAGTTGGGCTTGACAGGATAGACTTCTGCGACCGCACAATTCTGGGTTGCGGCCGCACGTCTTCAGACTGTGGACCACACAATTCTGAGTATGGCCGCACTCTTGAATTTGAGCTTGACAGGAGAGACTTCTGCGGATCGCACATTTCTGAGTGTAAATGCACTCTTAAATTCTGTGGCTGCACAATAATAGTGCAGTCCGCACTTCTTCATGGACTCAAAACTCCATCTCTTTGAACCTCATCTTCTGCGGCCTCATAATAATTGTGCGGTCCGCACTTTGCAAAGGAACTCTGTCAGAGGTCCTTCATAGTCTGCGGCCGCACTCAATATTGTGCGGTCCGCACTTTGCTCGTTTTGCTTGATTTTAGTCCTTGTCCAAAAATACTCCTTCTTGAGTTGAATTTTATCGTTTTGTCTCTTTTCCCAATGTTCCTACAAGTAAGCACATTTTATTAGTTTTCCGGAATACCTTTAAGCATTTTTGAGCTAAAACTAAAGTAAAAGAGTGCAAATAAGTAGTCAAAATCCCTACTTATCACCCCCACGAGATATCATGTACTGCGTCAGGATGTTTCCAAAGAAGAACCTTTTGATCCTCCCTCCAAAGCGGGTGCGGGCCATCCCCAAGCATGAGGTCACCCGCATTTATGGGTCGCCCGGTCATCAGAAAGTAGATCACACACACTCGAGCTTGAGTGCATTCGTTGTTATGCTCAACGGGCATTAATATAGCCTGCACAAAGTTTTGCTATACTTTAGCTGTCTTGTTGAAGTCGAACCGAAGCATCTCAAGGTGGGCATTTCCCTTAGTCCGCATCCACCTTGAATTAGAATCAATGCCACAAAGTGTGTGACGTATTGCCTGGTAGCGTGAACTTTTGACGAACTTATGTAACCTCCGTGGATTATCCTTTCCTCTGACCCATGATTGGAACATGCCCTCATTCCAGTTGGCATATAGCTCTCGTACCATGCTTAGATTTGCAGGGCCCGTACACTCAATGAGCTTATCCATCTTCATATCTACCAACCGGCCAAGTACATCCGGGAAGTTCCTTTCTAGAGCCTTTACATTGATCCCCATTTCAGAGACATATCTCCCATATGGAATAAAATTATTATTCTATTTGATGACGGCATCTCGAACTAATTCCACCCGAGGCCGTGGTGGCCTCATCGACCCGCTAGCATCTTGCTTTCCCTTAGCTTGTCGGGAAGAACCCTCACCTTGCTTACATTTTTTGGGAGGAGGAGTAGTAGTGGAGGACTTCCCCACCCCTTTTCATTTGGCAGCACTGTCACGACCCATAGCAACATATACACGATAAACACAAAGATGAGAATGAATTAAAAAACTTTCGCCTAAGGTCATTGTAAGAGGCAAAGATGACCCCACACTTAAAACCGAAGGCTATGTATAATAGAATCACAATATTGGTTCAACATGCACCAATGTGTCATCACAAGGCTATAGGTACTCAAGACTTCCTTATGTCATACAATTCAAGTAGTTGAACATGGACATAACTTAACTGTGGTGCAAGCAAGCAAAGCTAAAGTTCACATTACTACACTACTATAGTACACTAACTACGACTTACAAGAGTTTACAATAAAATACAACGCCCCCAAACATCCCACACTTCGCCCAACCTCATATACGACTATACTCGGCTACTCAGAATTCACCGGTGTTCAATTTATTCTCTCTGGCCTTTTAGCAAACACCTTGTGGGCATCAATTTTGTTTCTCTTATTTCAACAATGGTTGAGTAAGGTGACCCTCCCAAATTTACATAAAGTAGAGGGAATTGTAGTTTACTACTTCAAATACAACTTTCACAGCCAATTTTTGAAACCAAATTCGGGCATATTCATATCACTATAACAACAAGATATGTAAAATAAACCTATGAGATTTTGGGGTTGTTTGAGAAAGAGGCCTAGAATTACACTAAGAAAAATACAAGAAAATAGAGAACAAGAAGAACATACCTTTGAGTCTTGATATGAAAGTGAGCAAGAAGAGTTGAAGAATTTGAGGGGGAATGGGAGGGAGCAGCTGACAGAGAGACGGAGGTGAGAGTGATAGTGATTTTGGGTAAATTGTTATTTTAAATTAATTTAGGTGGGGGAAGGGATTGGTTAATTAGGTATGGGTAAGGTTGTGTGTGTATATGGGTAATTGGGTTGAGTTATATGGGTTGGGTCAACTAAAAATAAACAAAGAAACTGAAAAAATAAAAATAAAAAATTAAATCTTACCTGATCCCCCAGCCCAGCGCCCCACGCTGGGGCTGGCGTTGAGGATTTTTGATGACACTGGAAAGTGTGCCCCAGGCAGGGTAGTGCGCTGGCCTGGGCGCTCGTTCGCACTTCTTTTTTTTTTTTTAAATTCCCTCCTACCCGAGCACTCAATACATACATTATACATGCCCCACACCATTTTCACCTATGATTTTTTTCAACTATAAAGAAAATAAAAACTAGTGTACTCTGACTAAAAGAAAACAGAAAACTAAGCTACGAAAGTAATAAAAATTGGGTTGCCTCCCAACAAGTGCCTGATATAACGTCGCGGCACGACTCAACACATTTTTAAGCATCGGCCAAGTCCACTGAGGTCTTGTGACGTTCAATGTCACCACCCCAATAATGTTTCACTCGCAGATCATTTACTAAGAAGGTACCACTTGAGCTCGTATCACGTAATTCCACCGCTCCATGAGGCCTCACACCTACCACAACGAAAGGTCCTGCCCATCGAGATTTAAGCTTTCCGGGGAAGAGCTTCAACCTCGAATTAAACAAGAAAACTTCTTAACCTGGCTCAAACTCGCGATGTTGGATCTACTTGTCATGTCACCTCTTGGTATTTTCTTTATAAAATTTGGCATTCTCGTACGCATGCAATCGAAACTCATCAAGCTCATTAAGTTGTAGCAACCTCTTATCGCCGGCTAAGTCCATATCCATGTTCAGTTTTTTAATCGCCCAATAGGCTTTGTGTTCAAGCTCTACGGGCAAGTGGCATGCCTTCCCATAAACTAACTTATACGGATAAGTACCTATAGGGGTCCTGTATGCAGTTCGATATGCCCATAATGCATCGTCCAGCTTTCCGGCCCAGTCCTTTCTATTTTCACTTACTCTATACTTTGCTAGAATATTATTCAACAATTTATTACAGAAGTGAGTTCCTCTGTCACTTATCAGCACCCTTGGAGTCCCAAAGCGTGTGAAGATCTGCTTCTTTACAAAGTTTACCACTAACTATGTGTCATTAGTAGGAATAGCAATGGTCTTCACCCACTTTGACATATAGTCGACCGCCACCAAGATGTACCTGTGACCATTAGAGTATGGAAATGGTCCCATTAAATCAATCCCCCAGCCATATCTTGATTCGTTTGTCATAGTATTTATTTAAGATATCCCGGTATACTCACGTAGACAGAAAGAGCATGCACAACATCTGGGGATTTGACTACAGACGTTGAGGGAGGCGAAGTTTTATGCTAAATTCTCCAAGTGTGAGTTCTGGCTCGATTCAGTGGCATTCTTGGGGCACGTTGTGTCCAGTCAGGGGATCAAGGTAGATTCGAAGAAGACTGAGGCAGTTTAAAGTTGGCCCAGGCCGTCTTTAGCTACTGATATTCGGAGTTTTCTTGTCTTGATCGGATTAGCGCTTGGGCAGGATCCGTCCCTCCGGAGTCTGACATGCATATTTGACATGTAGACATAGAGACGTAACATTCTTCATGCTGGCTATACTTGGCATATTTTATCAGTATTGATCTTAAATTGTTGAACTTGAAAGCATGTGTACATTGTTGTACTGTGTACGAATTGATTATGAGTTTTTTCTGAGTTATTACTGTCATTTCCCCGTTATATCTGCACTATTATTATCTGGATTTGAATTATACCTTTCTCAGCTCGTCACTGCTTTCTGCCCAAGGTTAGTCCTGTTAATTATTGAGTACATTGGGTCGGTTGTACTCACACTACACTCTGCACTTCGTGTGTAGATCTAGGTATATCTGAACCCGACGATTGCTAGTTTTGATGCAGTATCTACTTGGAGACTATTGAGGCAGCTGTTATGACGCCCACAGACCTCGACTCTCCTTTCTTTCAGTTTTATTTAGTATTGTTCTATTTTTCAGACACCGGTATTATAAATTTAGGCTGTGTTGACACTTTGTAGCTCATTAATCGGTGACACCCGAATTTTTGGGGATCTTGTAGTTGAGTCGCAGTTGTTCTTATCGGTTATTTATGAGATTTTTCACTATTAAGCTTATTACATCATTCAAGTTATTTTGTGATTGTCGGCTTGTCTAGTAATGTGATTGGCGCCATCACGACATGTTGAGATTTTGATCGTGACACTATACAACTCTTCTTTAGCAAACTATGTATTCAACTTACAAAGAAATTACATTTGTCATACCTTCTTCTAATACTAGGAAGTTGCCACTTATCTAGTGTAAAGTGTCCCTTCACCTCTTTTGGAAGATGTTCGAAAGAGTAGTAGAAGGTACCATTTCCACTAGATGAGGCAAGCTTAGCTAAGAAATCCGCCATCTGATTGGCTTCTCTAAAGATTTCAAGATATGCATGCATTACACATTTATTGTAATCTGATAATGATAAAATATATATTGTTCATTAAATTTACAATGTTGCAATTGATGTAAAATTAGGTTAGATAATACGTTTGAGGGAAATTAACCTTACTGTAAGTACTTCTATTACTCTTCTCAAATCTAAGGACGTAGGGAGAAACAAAGAGTCCCATGCATGGTCATAAATTTCTTTGTCCTGCGCAACTTAAATTTGCTCCAAAATTAGAAAGAGAGGGTCACATAGGTCAGAATATTTTTAGTAACCGAGTTATGGACGATTTGTCCTACAATAAATCATATCTGTATTAATTTGCTAGCTTTACGTTCTATTATGGGTAAAAAAGAGATCTCCTAGAAGTTTTATCTTAAGGTATGAATAGAATGAATTAGATTATATATTCATCTTCAAGAGAATGTTGAAATAAATTACAAAGGTTGTTCCCGTCAGAATTTGGAGATAAATACACTAACAGTTTTCTACTATTTAGTGTATTTAGGTGATGACTGTTATTTCACAGTGTTGGAACTTTTAGGGAATTAACACACAACCTTAAAGAAGTTCATTATTCTTTTCTACTCTAATTGTCAGAGACGAAGCTAGGATTTCAATCTTATGAGTTCTACATTTTAAAACGAAAACTTCAAGTGTTAATAAGTGGATTCTACTTTTTATATTTGTACATATTTAATAAATTTCTTAACATAAAATATAATATTTGAGCAAAAACAACTGAATTTGCGGAACCTATAGCTCAGCTTCTCATCCGCCCTGCCAATGGTAGTGAGATGCAGAGTCACATGCAAAACATAAATCTGCTCCAAAATTAGAAAGCAAGAATCACATAGTCAAAGACACTTTTAGTAACCAAGTTAAAGAAGATTTGCCCTATATTTCGTTTATAAGCAGTTCAAATATTAAGAATGTGGGGACCAATTTAATTAATTGGCTGTGAATTTATAATTGTACTCACATGCAGCGACTAATCTCCACTTCAGAGGTGCAAGAATATTCAAAGCAATCATGGAGAAATTATTATACCATGAAGGGATGATATATGCTGAAAATGTACGTCCCATTTCCCCCTCATAGTCCTCTTATTTCTCTATAATTATATGGCTAAAAATATAAGAAATTTTTAAACATTGATGATGGGCATCCTTAGTGGAACTTCAGCAGGAGGGTTGGGTGCAATCCTACATTGTGTCAAATGCATCTCTCTGATGCTGGTTTCTTTATTAATGCGTAAGTTCATGAATCTGAGAAAAATTTCAAGAGTGTGTTTCTCTTTTTAACTAATTCTTGTATGAGTTTATGTTCAAAAACTATAACTGGTGTCTGGTGAGCCACATATTAAAGAGTATTTTAAGAGAGTTATTACTTTGCATGTAAGAACCATCATTTAGTAAAGTGTTTCTCTTTTATTATTCTTTATTGCTTTTTATAAAACATTACCGACTCTCTTTGGGTGTACTTTAGGGATCGGCCAAGAACCTACCACTCTCTTGCACATTCTTGAGCTTAGACCCAAGTTTGGTAAGAGCAGTTTTATTTATTTATTTATTTATTTATTGTGTAAATAAATTGGCCAACATGATTTTTCTAACTAATAAGTATACAATCCAATGATTTGGCAGTGCTTCTTCCCTCAGTATGCGGCACCACATATTTGCATGCCACTTTCATCATTAATTCGGCTTATGATTCTTGGCAGGTTTGAAAATCAATTTTTATATATGATAGTAACTAATACATTTTTGAATATATTTTATTTTCCTTCAAATTCTAAAGGGTTTGCCTATTGATTCTTGAAAATTAGATAAACAACATTTTGGTTCCCGAAGGTGTTGCTGACCCTGAACATGTTCGGGATACATGCAAGAAAGATATAAATAAATGCTCACCAAGTCAAATTCAAACTCTCCAAGATTTTAGGTCGACATTTTTAGAGGCATTGAACGAATTAGGACCAAGTTTTCATTTTCATTTCTTGCCATTTCCACCATGGCATTGAAATACAAAGCTATTGGTCCGACAACAACTCTCCAACAATAGCTAACAAGGTCATATTTTCATTTCTTTTTTTCTTTATATTACTGTAATTTTTCAGCTTTCTTGTGTTGTTATTTGACGTTTGATACTAACTCATTGTAACAGACAATTGCTGAAACTGTTGGAGACTGGTTTTTTGGTAGAACAACCTTTTTCCCTTAAAAAAAAATTTGCTAATTGGAAAGTTTATATCATTCAAAATAAAATTTTCGTCATATGTAATAATCAATTAGCAAAAGAAAACATTCAATGTAGGTTAATTAACGCATGCATGCGATGAATGTTTCCTCTCCTTTTCTGAAACTCCAAAAGGAGTAAATAAAGTTGGACCTTACGTTACAATATTAAGGACCTATTTATGATCCATTTCTTGTCTCACATATTGTTTGGCAGACACAACTTGACTAGTAAATTGCGTAAGCGAACATAATTTTTATTTATTTCTTGAAGTATATCTATACTTTAATTTGTGGAAATATCTATTTAATGATTTTTTTTATATTTCGTACCCCTAATGTATGTAATAAGTTTTATTTAACCTGTCCTTTTTTATGATTTACCTTAATAATTCTCATCGTTAGGAAATAAGAGCAAGCACTAACGATGGAGAAAGTTCGTAAAAGGTCCATTTTGATAGATTTTCCCCTCCCCTTCTAACCTTTATTTTCTTCATTACTTACTTCCTCTGTTAATCCTCACAAAATGAATTATTTTATAATTTTGCAAATAAATAAATAGATTAAAAAGCAAAATCGTAAAAATCAAGTGAATGGAATGTAAATGTAACTAAAGAAAACATTGGATAATCAGTATTGTAGTATAAATCCAATTAAATGGAAGGATTTGGGCATGTGGACTTTAAATTCACAAGTGTAATTACTCGATATTTGCTGGATGCGCAAGAATATGCCTCCCCTAAATTCCAGTAGATATTTTTACCTTTTTATGTGGATTACACTTCAAAAATGATATCTTCTAATAAGCTGCCAATTAGTTTATATTTCAGAAAAGATGGTTACCAGAATATTTATTGGTACTAACAAAAGTATTATTTTGCAGGACATATATATCCCGAAAAAAATGTGTTGTAAGCAAATCATGGTGGTGTTGGAAATTTGTATTTTTGTCTTAGTTTTATTTCCTGAGACGATGGTAAACTGTAGAACTCCTGAAGAAACAGAGTTAATTTGCTATCTGGTATGCAGGGAAGACTGGGGGGTTTATGGATGGGACTATACTAAGAACCTTACTCAAGAACAAATTAATGAAAAATGCAGAAGGGGAGAAAGATTTATGCCATGTGAAATTGATGGAGAATTGATCTTGTAATTAATTATAAATATTATATTTTCTTATAGAAACTTGTTCACATAAGATCGGTAAAAAATAACATACAATATTTATAAATAAATTACGAGAGATCTTTAGAAGGTTGTTTTCTTCCATTCAAGTTTTAAGCAGGTGTAGGAGATCATTTTCTTTAATATTATGGAAAATGGTCAAAATTGCCGTTAATAGTTGGGCATTTATTTGCCCCTGCCTTGGCAAATAATATATCATTTTTGTCCTTACTTTTAATTTCAGCTAATGAAATTATTAAAAAAAAATATATCTAAAATCATTGCCATTTGTCAATGTAATATAAAAACTTATTTTTAAATAATTTTTCTTATTTTCATTTTTTTATATCTCCTTTTTCCTTTTCTTTTACTTTTTCTCTCCCCCTTCCCCAACCATGTCTTCAAGATCAGACCCACCCCTCCTCACTTCCTTCTTCTTCCCCAATCACCAAAGTTTTGTAAGAGAGCGGAGCTTAGTCTTCTGCACCAGATTTTTCAGTCTCTTTAATTTTTCTCTTTCATCTTGAAGGAAATGATATTACCTTGGGAAAATGCCCTAAACTACCCATATCGTTTGCTAAATGGTTTACAGATACCCTCCGTCCACCTATCCGTCCAAAAACGTACACGACGTTAATTATATTAATAAAATTTTCCCCGCGTCTAACAATACAATTTGGAGGCTTCAATTTAGTGATGTGGCAGTTTCTCATTGGGCCACGTGACAATCTCGGACTGAAACAAAAAATTGACCTTATTTTCGACCCGATTAATCTAACCCAACATTTTCTGGGTCATAAAATAATACATTAACACATAATTTCACAAAGATAGCATCTAATAAGTGATCAAATTTGTTTTCGACTAGAGCGTCGCTTCTGCGGCCAAATACCAGTTATTTGTCTGTGCAGCGCTATCAAATTGCATAAATAATGTATCTCATAGATATCTAAAAAATAAAATCTTCTAGAATCTCTTTTAAGCGAGAAAAAGAAAATCTTTGCAAACTCACCGGTATCCACAAATTCTATTGCCCTTCTCGTTTTGCTAACTCCTTTAATTTCTCCTCGTCCGGGTGAACTATCCAGCGCATGGTAAACTGTACAAGCTTGGAACACTCACTTTCCCTTGAATGCTCCATAAAATTGATCAATTTGTCTCTTAGATCTTGAATATTCTCACTATTGCAAGCATTTATCACTACTAGAAATTCGGCCAAAATCGACCGCGGCCAACCGACCGAAGTCGGTCGGTTTTTCAAAATATTTTATTTTTAAATTATTTTTACGAAATCGACCGACTTCAGTCGGTATTTTTGGCGCAAAAATGCGGAAAACTATTTTAGAATCCCTCAAAATTTATTTTTTAAGAAATCGATCAAAATCAGTCGGTTTTTCATATAAAATAAATCAAAACTAATATTCAAAAACCGATCAAAATAGGTCGGTTATTTCAGCCAGTCATTTTAAAAAACCGACCGACTTCGATCGGTAATTTTATATTTTTAATAAAATCGATCGAAATCAGTCGGTTATTTTCGCGCGAAAATAAAATTAAGGAGTACAAATA